CCTCCCGTGTACCCACAGCAAGCTGTCCGCTTCCCCGGGTGACAGGGTCTCACATGTCCGTGCGCCATCATTGTCCACCTGCTGTTCATTCGGCCTCATTTTTATTTTTCATGAATTTTCCTGGCACCTTTTGCTTTTCTCTGCTTTTGAAACTAAGATCTGTCACCGAGACTTCTGGGAAATGTCCTCCTCTTTTCTGTGCCACCTGGACGCTCCCCGTGGCCCCAGCACTGGGCGTGGTCCCTTCTGCACTGGTCCTCTGTCGTCCCTCCTGCTCCGCCTCCTGGGTGTCCTCCCTGGGCTGAGACGCTTTTCTCCATCCATGTGTCCGGCCGAGCGCCAGGCACAGCGTGGGTGCTCCAGGAAGACATTTTTTAAAAATTCAGTACAATGACTCCACTCATTAGGAACAGCAACTTCTTTTAATTTGTTTGCCAGAATTAGTAGTGATATCTGCATTACGCTACTTACCTTATCACTAAAACCATCTCATTTATTTATTTTTTGGTTGTTTTTTGCATTTGTATCTTGTCTGCTAGCTTTTTCAGACCTTGCACGGGTCATTGGTAGATCACAGCCCAATTAGAATCCACCTTCAGTGACTGCAAGGGACACGGTGGCTTCCATGTTGTGTCCTAACGGGATGCTTGACTTTGCTTCTTCCTCGACCCCTGGTTAATGGTGTGCCTTTTACATTCTGCCTGTCTCGTGTCCCAACTACTGGACACATAGCTGTCCAACAAATATTCAGGTCCTCCTTTGTGGAAAAACATTTTAAAACTTTAGTTGATCCTGTACAAATCGTGACTGTAAATGTCATTGAGTAACATATGTAATTTGATCTTAAAGAGCGAATATTTCTCTGGACGATTTTGAACTTCATAATACTTTCAAAATAACCCTAGAGTGCTAAAAGAACGCAAGGTGAACGAAGAGAATGGCTTAGCTGCTGTTGTTTTTTAATACTGTTGAGTTGTAAGAGTTTTTTACATATTACAAATACTAGACCATTATCAGAGGTATGATTTGCACATATTTTCTCCTGCCCTTTTAACTTTCTTGCTAGTGTCCTTTGATGCATAAGTTTCAAAATTAGATGAAGTCCATTTAATCTATATTTTCTTTGGTGGCTTGTACTTTTTCTGGCATATCTAAGAAACTAATGACCAATGCAAGATCACAAAGATTTGCACCTATGTTTTCTTTTTAGAGTTTTATACTTTTTACCTGGTCAACTTATACATGTGATTCATTTTGTATTCATTTCTGTATATGATGTGAGTTAACAGCCCAACTTCATTCTTTTGCGTGTAGATATCCATTTATTTCACCCTGGTGACTAAAATGGTTATTCTACCTACCATTGAATTGTCTTACATGTTAGGCATTTTGCTGGAATATATTCATGTGTATGTATCTAATTCATCATCCCTTCAAGATACTTACATAAATGTAAGGGTTTATTTCTGTCCTCTCAATGCTGTTTGGTAGATCTGTATGTCTCTGCCAGGACCTCAGTATTTTGATCACTTAGTTTCGTAGTAAGTTTTGAATTGGGAAACTATATGATCTATTCTGCAGAGTGTTCCACATGTCATTGAGAATATTCCATGTGTAATTGAAAATAATGTATATTCTTATTCTTATTGGGTAGAGGGGTCTATAAGATGTCTCTTAAGTATAATTGGATAGTATTATTGTTCAAATCTTCTATTTTTTTATTTTATTTTTAGTTTCTTTATTATGAAGGTGTGCCACTGAAATTCCTAACTATTATTGTTGAATGGTCTATTTCTACCATTGGTTCTGCCAGTTTTTGCTTCATGCAGGTTGAGTTGCTGTTATAAATGTTTATATGTATGTATACATTTTTATAGTTAGTTAATATTCTTGATAGATTGACCCTTTTATCACTGTAAATAATTTTCCTTTTTTCTCTAGTATCAATTTCTGTCTTAAAGTGGATTATATCTCATATTGGTAAAGCTATGGTAGTTCTCTTTTGATTAGTATTTCCATGGTATATCTTCCATTTTTTTCTTTCATTATATTTTTATCTTCATATCTAAAGTGTATCTGTTGTAGATAGCATGCAGTTGGATCATGTTTTTTCAGAAGGTACCAGTCTCTGCCTTTAAATTGGTGTGTGTAATCCATTTATATTTAGTGTAATTACTGAAGAGGTAGGATTTACATCTGCCATTTTGCTATTTGTTTTCTATGTGTCTTATGTCTTTTTTGTACCATACCACGTCCCTTTGTGCTATTTCTACTGCAGCACTTTATTTCCATTGTCATTTCAAAATAGTTTTTATTAATTAATATTTTAAATTATTTTCTTAAGTCGTCCTGGAGATTACAATTTACACATTAACCTATTTTAGTCTTTTTAAGATTTATACCAACTTAATTTCAACAGTAGGGAACAATTTTGCTTCTCTCTAGATCCATTCTCACCCACCTTTGTGCTGTTACTCTCAAATTACAGCTAATTGTGTGCTCGTCAATACAGATTTATAATTATTTCTTCATGCGGTTGTCTTTCAAATAAAGTAGGAGAAAAAAGTTACAACTGAAAATATGTTTCTCCTGTCTTTTATATTTACCTAAGTAGCTACCTGTACCAATGTTGTTGGTTTTTTTTAATGTAGATTTAAGTTATTGTCTAATGACATTTCGCTTACCTGAAGAAGTCCTTTTCGTATTTCTGGCAGAGCATAACTTCTATTGATTCTCTCAGTTTTTGTTTACTTGAAAATATCTTAATTTTTCTATTTTTTGAAGGATAGTTTTGCTGGATATAGAATTCTTAATTGAAAGTGTTTTTATGTTGGTACTTGGAAATTAGAATCTCATTGTCTGCTGGCCTCCATGGGTTCTCTTGAGACATCGGCTTTTGATTTTATTACAGATCTCTTACACTTGAAAAGTGGTTTCTCTCTTGCTGACTTTTCTCTCTTTGTCTTTCAGTATGTTGAAAATAATGTATCTAGGTGTGGGCCTTTTAGAGTTTATCCTACTTGGAATTTGTGGAGCTTCTTGGATGTACAAATTAAAGTGTGGTTTTTTTTTGTTTTGTTTTGTTTTTTAATTTAATCAACTTTAGGAAGTTTTAAGCCATTATTTCTCCAAATAATTTTTCTGGTGTTTTCTCTCTTCACCTTCTGGGTATCTCAGTATATATATGTTCATATTTTATGGCAGTCCATTGGTCTCTGAGACCTTGTCTATTTTCTTCATTTTTTTCTCCTCTTCCTCAGACTGGATAATCTCAATTGATTTATTTTGAGGTTCACTAATTTCTTTTTCTTCTAGTCTTATCTGTCTGGTGAAATTTTAGTATCAGTTATACTTTACAATTTAAGAATTTTTTCAGATTTTCAAAAAATATTTTCTGTATTTACATTAAGATTTTCTATTGGTGAGGCACTGTTCTCATACTTTTTTTTAGCTCTTGAGTCACAGGTTATCCTTTAGTTTCTTGAATATCTTTCAAACAACTTATTTAAAGTATTTGTCTAGTAAGTCCAATGTCTCAATTTCCTCAGGGACAATTGCTATTGTTTATATATTTTCTTGTGTATGGATTATACTTTTTTTTTTTGGTATGTCACATTTTAAAAAATTTAAAACCAGGCATTTAATATACTGTGTCAACTGTGAAAATCAAATTCTCCTCCTTCCTCAGAATTTCTCTTTTGTTTTTATTTTGGTTTGGTGACTTTCCCAAAAAAAATATTGTAAAGTCTATATTTATCATGTGTTGCTACTGAAGTGTCTCCCCTGTGTTACTTTAGTGATCAGCTAATGATTGGACAGAGATTGTATTGAATGCCTGGAAATTAAGTTCCTAGTCTTTGCCAAGAGCCCCTGGGGGCCTGTTGGAGCATGTCTTCAACATCCACTCAGTCAACTTACAACTAACTGTGCCTTGATTTGCCTTTCCCTCTTGTACTGAACCTCAAGGTCAGCTCAAGGAGAAAGCTGGGGGCCATCAAGGTCTCCTGGGCATGTACTTGACATTGTATGCAGATAGTCTGTAGATTTCTAGCAATATATCAGAGCCTTTCAAAACTCATATTGAAGTCTCATCCCCCGACTTCTTGTCAGTCTATTGTTTGCTCTGGTTTTTCTCCACCACCGCAGGCAGCAGAAATCTTCAATAATTGCCTCTGATTATTTTCTTCAGGTACCCCCAGAGAAAATGGTTTTTTCATGGGATGATCTCTAAGTCATATCAAATGAAGACATCCCTCTGAGAATGGGGTTTTGCTATAGCTCCACCCTGCTCTGCCCCCTCCAGTGGCCTCTAGGCTACTGGTTTCCATAGTGATTGTGCCTTTTGGATTTCAAAGTTCCTGCAGAGCTGGGCCCTGGCCGGTTTGGCTCAGCGGTTAGAGTGTCGGCCTGCGGTCCCGAGAGACCCGGGTTCAGTTCCCGCTAAGGGCATGTACCTCGGTTGCAGTTTGTCCCCGGCCCTGGTTGGTCATGCGGGTGGCAGCCACTCGATGTGTCCCTTTCACATCGATGTTTCTCTCTCTCTTCCTCTCTCCCTCCCACTCTATCTGAACAAAAAATGGAAAAATGTCCTCAGGTGAGGATAAAAAAAAAAAAAAAAGAAGAAAAAAAAGTTCCCGCAGAGCTGGGACTGAGGGGCGAGGAGAGAACAAGTTAAAACATCTCAATGCTCTCTGTTCATACTAAGAATGAGCCATTGAAGAAGAAAAAAATTATTGCTTCCTAGATCTCTGCAAGCCTTTGGTAATTTCCAGAGTTGTGAAAATGTCGATTCTGACCATTTCCGCCAGTTTCTCCTTGCTTTTTGCTTTTGGAGGTGCTTGCCCCATCATTTCCATTGATGTCACTGTCATATTTTTCTTTACCCTATTGGATACATTGTTAAATACTAGCTGAATTAATAAAGATTCACTAACAGCGGAATGCTTCTTTCTTTCCAGACCCTTCTCTGAACGTTTCTGTACTTTCCTGTTCTGTTCTAGGACTACGATGACGGGTATGGCCCTGCTTACGATGACCAGAGTTACGATTCCTATGACAGCAGCTATAGCACCCCAGCCCAAAGGTAAGGCCGGTCTCTGTGACCAGACCCCATAGCTGACACTGTGCCCTTCCACGTGTGTATGTTCTGGGGAAAGGATGCTGATGGCCAGCCAGGGAGGGCAGTTTGACTTGGCCTGCTTTGCTTTCATTGCAGAAACAGAGTCTGCCCTACCAACCAGCATGTACTTCTCTGCAGGTTCCTGTAGTGTTAAAGCAATGAGGCTCGGGAAATAAAAATTGAAATCTTATTCACTCTAATAACTTAACTTCCGTGTATCCTGAAGAGGAACAGTGTGTATAGAGTCTGTGGTTATTGAAGTCGGAGGCCCAAAGTCACACGAGAAGTATGTACACATCCCACATTGTCGGAGCCCGGGGAAGAAGCCGCGTTCCGTGTTCACGGAGCATTTCCATCGCATACGTAGCGGACGTGTTCCTGTTTCCCAACGACTGCAGACTCCCTCGAACAATGAGTTAGTTCCCATGCACTTTCTAAAGAAGCATTTATTCAGCAATAAATGTTGGCAGAGGCACAACAGCTGAATATTACCTCTTCTGATGGAACACCTGGTTGTTCACTGACATTTGAAATCAGTGTGCATTCTGTTCCGTGTTTTCCTAAGTGCCTAGAGACCTCTTGCTTTATGCTTGAAGTTCTAAGTGGAGAATAAAGATAGACATACACAAAAGAAGACATTGGCTTTGTGAAGCCTTGAAAATATGGGCTATGTGGTTACTTTGATGGAGCATACACTCACTTTTGATTTCAGGCGGGTCCCAGGCAAGGTTTTATTTGTTTACTCTGATACCGCGGTTGACAGTGATTTAAACTTTTCTTTTCTTTCTGCGCATGCCAAATTATTTTCTTATGTAACGTGTAACAGTGGAGCAGCCTTCAAACTTTGTCCGCTTTGGTCTTTTTTTAGTGGACGCCTTGCGCATTGTGTTTGTGTCCTTGAGGTTGTGGGCACCCCCTGCGCTGGCTGGCACCCAGTGGGACCCAGACGAGGCCTTACACGTGTATCCCATGGGAGTGCCCAGCAACTTAATGAAGGGTGTGGGCTGTATCGACGGAGCAAAGGGGCCCAGAGCATAAGGTTAAGGAATTTGCCCACCCAAAGATCACACACAGAGTGTAGTCCTTTATCATTTAATCTGCATGAATGGCAACAGTAAGGGTTCATGTTTGTCCATTTCACAGACGACGAAGCCGAGGCTCAGGGAAGTGAATGACTAACGCAGAATGTGAGCCCAGACTTAGAGACCCGACAAACTCTTTCCACTCTGCACTGCGGGACGTGCTAATGGACTCGTTCAGAAGCCTCAGCATTTACCGGATGTCCACTCTGTGGTGGGCACTCTGCTCAGTGCTCGGAATACAGAGCATTAACACCGAGACTGTCCCCTTGGACAGCTCACAGGCTAGAAGGAACCAAAGGAAATATTTAAAAGCAGTGCAATGCGGAAACCACTATGAGAAGTGCGAGGAAAAATGCAGTATTTCCACTAGAAGACAGTGTGCAGTGTGGCTGGGGTGACGGGCAGTGCACTGAGCGAGCGAGCAGGGGGCCGTAGGGGACAGACAGGGAAGGGCAGCTCCGCGAGGCGGGGAGAGCCCGGCGCAGGGGTGTGGGTGGGGAGTGCCGCTTGGCAACGCCACGTTGCTGGGCAGAGCGGAGGCTGCGATGGCAGGAGAGAGGAGGCAGCGGTGGGAGTGACCGCACAGCCTCGGGGACCCGCGGCCTCAGGTCGTAGGCAGCACTAGGGAGCCAGGGAAGATTTGGTGCAGGGGGATGGTGTGTAGACTTGCATTCAGAGACATCAGGTAGCTGACGGTACAGAGGCTGCACTGCCGGACGGTGAGCCAAAAGGCCGTGTCCACTAGGGGCTGGCACCTGGCATGTTATAAGCCCTTCAAAGGTCTGGGATGACAGCCAGTCCACCTTTGAAGTGAGCTTCTCCGTGCTGCGACTCATCTGACCTGACGAGTACGGGGGTTTGTATGAGAAGCGCCCACATTGGCAAGTGTCAGGAATTCTCAGTATTCATTTAGTCCTCAGAACCTGTGAAACAGACACCGGGCCTTGTAAAGAGAAAGAACGCTGTGAGTCCCAGAAACATGAGGCCGTGCATGTTACAAGCGAAGGGGCCAGACTCTGGGCCCGTCTGTGTGCCCTCCGTGGGCCTCCCAGGAGCTCTGCTGCGGACCCCGCGAAGTGGCTCCCCTAGGGACCTGGGGAGAGGTGTCGTGCGCACTGTTAGTTCGCTGCAGTCGTGAAAACGGAACAGCGTGGACGAAGTGACAGACGTTCCTTTTCTCACAGTTTAGAGGCTGGCCGTCCAAGACCAAGGTGTTGGCAGGTTCGGTTTCTCCTGAGGCCTTTCTCCTTGAGTTTTTATTTTTTAAGATTTGCTTGTTGCTTTTTACTTTATTTTATTTTTTCCTTAACTTTTAGATGGCTGCCTTCTCTGTGTCCCCTGAGTGTACTGTTTCTTTGTGTATCCAAGTTTCTTCTCGTGCAGTGACACCAGACAGATTGGATTAGGGCGCACTGAAGGCCTCCTTTTCACTTCATCGCCTCTTTGAGGGCCCCGTCCCTAAATGCCATCACATTCCGAGGTACTGGGGGTGAGGGCTACAATGTGAGATATTGGCGGGGAACGCAGTTCAGCTCATAACAGGCTCGTATTATAACATTGGCTTAGGAACACCACCATATGTCTCAGACTTAGAAATTCCTTCCGTAAACCAGTTAGAATAGCAACTTTTTAAATCATCTCTGGGATCAGGTAGCGGGAACTAACAAGGAAATCGCAGTCACCGTTCACTCGGCTGTGGGGTGTTCACTGTCGCTGTCATGGGCTTCCCGTGAATTCTCTGCCCTGTTAGCGAGCATGCCCTGCACCCGGCAAGCTTCTCTCTGCCCTGTTAGCGAGCATGCCCGGCACCCGGCAAGCTTCTCTCTGCCCTGTTAGCGAGCATGCCCGGCACCCGGCAAGCTTCTCTCTGCCCTGTTAGCGAGCATGCCCTGGCATCGGCAAACTTCTGGTCCAGGCCCCTGCGCCTTTGCGCAAGTTCACAGAGCCCGGGTCGCTGACGCAGACTCACTCGCTGGTTTGAGTCCGCATCGGCCCAGTGCCCTCTGCCCCCACCATCCACCTCTCCTCCCGCCGCGTTTGCGTTCAGTCGCCAGAACTAAACTCTACTGGCATTTCCCATAGACGGAGCTCAGAACTCGAATGCTTTGTGACGCTTTCAAGTCCCTCGGGAATGTGCCTCCATCTGAACAGGAAGTGCCCTATCAGACAGGGGCTTCCTGAGTCGGACCCAAGGAATCCCCTGATGCGGGTGTTCCTGTTGCGAAGACAAGTGAAGCCGAGACCTTTGCTTTTCCAGTTTTCCATTAGGTCCTTTCAGCACATCACTTGTACTGCTTCCTCTCTCCGGGAGCAAACAGCCTTCACGGTCACGAGGAGACAATAGTCACTAATAGATAACACGTGATGGTCTGTATTCTAAAAGGCCTGGATTTTCACGGCTCAGGTTCTAGCAGATTAATTTCGTGCATCAATAATTCTCTCCATTCAACGTCTGTAGGTACATTCCATGTTCTAGTGATACAGTTTGCTATCGCTGCAGATTTCTTTACTTGATCTCCTTTCAGACGACCAGCTGTTGTGGACATGTTCTGTGTCACTCCCTGGTGTGGGCAGAGGAGCACTGGGCAGAGGTTCAGGCTGGCCTGTCGGCCATGGTAGCCACGACCATGTGGTCTTGGTGGCCAGTCCCGTACAGATGCACCGTGAGTGTGAAACCCACACTGGATTCCAAAGATTTAGCAGGAAACAGAGAGTGTAAAATCCGTATCTTATTAAAATGAATTTCACCAGCTTCTTTGTACTTTTTTTTTTTTCTTAACGTGGCTATTAGAAAACGTTGAATTGCACATTTCTCCTGGGGAGCTAAGTAAGAGTCCAAGCCTCTCGCTGGGTCTCTGGCTCCGCAGCACAGTAGAGCCTGTGGCTAGGGCTCACACTCCCTCAGGGTCAGCAGGTCAACGCACTAGAGGCAGAAAGAGAATTAGGGAGTGTCAGCTCCTACTCATCCTTTTAAAATCTCTGTCCTGATGTTTTGTTCTGTGTGTGAGACAGAACTTATTAACACTACAGGACACATCATACATACTCAGTTAGAGTTCCCAGCTCAAAATGGCTTTCTTTCTGCTGTGGCTTGCTTTCAGGTGTCACCAGAGACGCCGGGAAGGCGGCTGTCTCCCTAGAGCACACCTGCACCGTTCCTTCCCGTGTCTTTCCTCAGAGAGCACCTTTGCTTTCTCTCTCCTGAGCTCCAAGGGCCCTTCTTCTGCCTCTGCAACTTGTTTCCTGAGCCCACGCAGCCCAGCTGGCTCACTTCTTCTACCTCTGTGTCTAAATAAGCTTTTGCTTGTAAAAAAAAAAAAAAAAAGAGAGAGAGAGAGAAAGTGCTTGGGGACCCGAGCCAGAGTGGTGTACGAGTCTGACCCACCTGTGCTGTCATCCGAGCTGTAACCTTGACTGAGTATGTGACTTTGGACAAGCTGTTTCTCCTCTGTAAGCTGCAGTTCGAGGAAGGTGTGACTCACTGCCTGCTTCAGAGGGTGGCCTGAAGGGTGACCGAGACAGAAAAGCCCTCAGTCCCTGTGAAGCAGGTGGAGGGAGGTGTGCAGAGCGCTCAATGGGATGACGTACCGGAGGTCCCTGCCCTTCTCCGCGCCTCCAAATTGTCTTCTGTCTCAGGGGGGTCACGAGAAGCAGGTACCAGTAAATCTGGAAGGGCTGTGCAAGGAGATGATTGACAGGGAGAATGGGCAGGGGGTACCCGGTGGGGGGCTTCTCCCCACAGGGGTGGTCAGCGTCCATATTGGCCATAAACTGGGATTAGAAGGTGAGCCGCCATGGTCCACGTGAAAACGGTAGAACAAGACAGCAGGGCGGTGTGCTTGGCCCTTGAGTGCCGTCCTCTCTGCTGTGGGAAGGGGTTCC